CAATATATTATACATAAATCATAAGTCAAATTTGAAATGTTTAAAAAGAAAATTAAAAAGAAAAATTTTGGACATTTTATAAATTTCAATTAACTTTTTAATTAAAATGAGGTCTTTTATAAAATATTAATAATATTTTTTAAAAGAACATTATATAGTGACTCTTATTAAATACAGAATTTATTATTTCATATATATGTTTACAATAATTTTATCGAATTATTTTTTAATCTAATAAACTATTGCTCAGTTAATAGAAGCAAGAATTTTATTTATTCTATGCACAGCCTTTTGTTATATTTTGAATATATTTTGTGAATAATGTTGAAAATTGAAGTCATAAAAAAAATTTGGATAATAAACAAATTATATCAAGTGTATATTAATTTCAAATATTTTAAATATATATATATTTTAATATAAAATTAATGAAATTAGTGAAATTCATTATCCAAACATTTCTGCAATTAATTTTGCCATTATTTAGTGTATTGCTATCTTGCAAAAAACTGTGGGCATAAATAAAAATTTATGTTTTTATTAACTGAGCAATAAATTATTAGATTAAAGAATAATTCGATAAAATTATTATATAAACAAATATATGAAATAATATCTTCTATAATTAGAATAACTGTTGCAGTATATAAAAAAGCAATTAATTCAGATTACTTACAACAATTAATGATATTCATTATAAATTAATTTAAAAAAAATTTATAAATTAATTTAAAAAAAAATTAATTTACGATAAATACAACACATTTATATTTTAGTTCACAACACTTTATATTTCAATACTTTCGATACTTCAATATTGTATACTTATATACTCTAATATAATGCATTATGTATATCCAGTAAATTCGAAAGCATCATCTTTTTTAAAAATATTTCAAATTTTTTCTGAAAATATTTTCTTTTAAAAATGTAATGAATGTTAAATTTTTTAAATATTTCTCAAATTCTTGAAATTTTCAAACTTTGTACATATCTATGGAAAATTTGTGTTTTAAATGAGGGATAAATTTTAGGAATCTACCTTGCCATCGCTCTTCCAATAAATGAAAAATCCATATTCATCGACTTTAAATAAGCAATTCGGTTCATAGTCGGTGTTTTCCTTGTCTTCGAACCAACGATCGAACGTTGAACCATTTCTCAACAATTCTGGTACTTCGATTCGCCAATTAAATTCGAACTTCTTTGTCATATTACAGAGTTTTCCAGTTTGTGAACAAAGTGGTCTAGTTTCTGAGTATTTTGAAGTGAACTTGGAGTGGCACAAAACTCAAATGACTAGATTCTAGCTTGAAACAGTATTCAAAGACTAATAATGTGATTAGGTAAATCCAATTTAACGTATGAGGATTCGCTCGCCATCAAGCAGAGAGATCGTCGCGTAAGAGAATTTTTACTTATATAAGATCAATGCATCAAAACCCAATTCTTCCATTTTATAACACACACAAAAAAAAAAGGAAAAAACAAGAAGAAAATTTAATTTTACCTCAAAGGTTAAATCTTTTCAGAAATAAAAATAAATTTTTTTTAGAAATGAAATAAAAATAAAAAGGATTAAACTTTCGGGCGTTAACATAGATTTTTTGTTAGATATGTATGTTTATTTTTACTGCATTGTATCATGTGATTAGATAATTGAGGATTAATAATTTATCACAACATAAACACTTTTTTTAAATTTCATAAATTTAAGTGGAAAGCATGATAAAAAGTATCGAGCGAATCTTTGAAATTTTCTTTCATAATTCCAACATTAAATATAAATTAATTAATAGCTAATATAAGTTGATTGAAAAGAATTTTGAATGAAATTCCACGAAAATTATACATGTTTAAAAGCTATTGCTTTCATTAAAAATAATTGTATGAATCAAGCACAACATGTTTCTTAATTTGATCATAAAGATTTTGATTTTTTGTTTCAATATTAATTATGATCTTTATAAAAGTAGATTCCCAAAAATACCTATATATTAACTCTTCACACTACTTTTATTTTCAATTTATGTACAATATATTTGTGTTTATGTACAATAATTTCTTGAATAATTGTTTATTAATTTTGGTCAGTAAGTGTACAACTTATGAATTTAGAAAATTATGAATAGATGAATAGATTAATTATAATATTTAATGGTTCTGAAAATGGTTTAACAACTATTATTTTTATCTACATATAAATTTAGAAGTAGTTTAATTATTATTTAGGATTTTTTAAATTAATTTATTATCATAAAAATTATACATGTATATAGATAATTAATATAGGATGAGTGTAAATATATTTAAAAATAATAGGTAATATGAGAATAAAATAATTTATTACAATTTTGAATAATTACAAACTAATGTGCTCGATGTCTTTTTGTAATTGACAATTCGATTTTATACACTAATTTATTGTCTTTTAAATTCGACACATTTGAATTACGTTTGACGATATTTATTCTCATCACGTGTACATTCACGTTGTTAACAAGCTTATGTAGTCGTTCCTTGTCTTATAGCCGCTTCCAACGACACTACTTATATATCCAGTGAAATATACAAGTACGACAAAACATTAGTATTTGTACTCATTATTGTTTATATATATTCGTCTAAATCTATATCGATTGATAATTATCAGATATTTTATCCAAAATGTTTTGTGTTATGACATTGTACCAATGTATGTTTCTACTATGAACGATATTAAGTCGGATGTTGTTATTAACAGAATGAATAACAATGGTAATTGAGTATTATTTCGGCTAATCTTTAAACAATACATGTACAAATTGATAATTGCAATGAAATATCAAATTTCTTTTTAAGCTTTTAAAATACAGTAATTACATTTCTACATTGTTAAGTGTAACTATTTTCTTTTTTTAAGAGTAATTCTTTTTGCTACTGTATATCATTCAGTTTTTTGCGTTTCCCATTCACCGACAATTTAATCGAAAAAGTTAAATGTTAACACTTTTTATAGCGTTATGCAAAAATATATATTGTTTCTAAAAATTATGAAACATAATGTTTTTGTTTTACGTAAATAAAGGGTTGAACCAAAAACAGTATTTCATTATTCAAGTTGTTCATATTAATCATATGATTCAATTTATATATACTAACTTGTATTTCATTTTTCATTAAAATAATCCGAAATATTGCAAACGTGTCAAAGTATTTAAATACGTTAAAAATTTCTTTTATTAATTTTTTTCAGCTGTATTTAAAGAAGAATAAAGTAAATTAGTCTTTAGATAATTCATGTATGTACGAAGTATTCTGAAAGATGTACAATATTAGAACACATAATTGAAAAATAAGTCAGTTGATTTTCAGATTCCACGAATCTTTTTTGATTATTTATTCGACAAATTTGGACACGAACCGTTGTAAATACTTTCAATTTATCACACTGCATATATTTTTTTCTGATATACATGTTACGACCAAATGATATCGATCTAGTTTTTATGTATGTAGATGTTTGAAAAAATTCTTCTTTCAAAATGAAATATTACAATGGGAAGCAAGAAACACATTTGAATGTTTCTGTGAACACGGATTATTTTAATTGTCTTTCCTTCATTATCTTTGTGAAATACCATGCTTTTTTATAAATAAGAAATTTATAATAGATATTTAAGTATCATTACACGAAATCTGTTTTTGATAAGTGAGATAAAAATATGCAAGCCACAAAATATTTATAATACAAATATTACATTTCAGATGTATCCAATTTTTCAATAAATAATTTAAGAAAAAGATAGAAAGAATAATATTGTATATATATATATA